ACTATTTGAATTTACTCTCCATGGTGGAAGAACCTGAGATTTCCTAAGAGAAATATTTAAACTAAGGAGAGAGGCAATAAATAACAATTGATTTTGGTGAAATGAGTCCATAAAAATGCAGTGCTTGGAACAATTTCAAGAAAAAAAATTAGCATGCCCAGTAATGATTAAAGCAAGATATGAAGCATTTGCAAATACATCTGTATTGCTGCAGATAATTTCTTTCTATTTAAGAGTTTTTACTCTAGTAAAAGTCAGTATCAAAATGACAGTCACTTGTTACTTTTGGGGTTCCTAACATACACAAGGGTAATAATTCCCTCTTCTTTCTTTTTGTCAGGTATCTGTAATTAAATTAGCGATAAGAAAATGAAGATCCTTGACCATGTAAGGTAGCATTCGTGTGTCTCACTTTAAATTTTCTCTGAGAAAGTAACTGGTCCAATGTCCTCTGACAACTCAAAGTATCTACAAAGCAAATGAAATTTAGGAAGTACTACAATGACTAGAAAATGCTGTGAGGGAGTATAATGGACATATCAGCAGAGGATAATTGCTACAATTGTGGCAAGTTCCTGTGAAATTCCAGAGAGAAAAGTAAAAACTTGTAAATTTTTTGCATTTATTCAGAAAGAGAAAATGAAGTTATCTAAAAACATCCAAGGATACTGGGACATGAATGAAAACTGTGTAAAAGTCATACCCTAAACTTGCCTATCCAAACAGAAGCTAACTTGTTACTGAGAGACAAGCTAGGAAATTTTAATTTAATTCGGTGATTGCCAAATGTAAAAAATTAGCAAGATTTTATATGAAGTCTCCTATTCACCAACAAAAATAGATGCAGTACAGAAAGACTGAGAGAGAGCTACCTTCATTATTAGTAGTGCTCTTCACATCTTGATGGAGTTGTAGAGCGATACAGAACTCATTTGCTGACTTTCAGCAGGACTATACAAGGCCTATACAATTAGTTTCACATGGGGATGAATTCTCTATAGGATGAAAATATACCCACTAGGCCATGTAGGTCTCTTTGTCTCAGGAAAGCAGTACTAATAAAGGGAAAACAAAAAACCTCTCACAAATACAATCCACAAAAATAATAATCACTCAAAGCTACTCAGAATATTTATGAAGTTGACATGGAATCTGCCAAGCATTGAGATTTTGCAGACTTCTGGAAATGACTGTGCTTTCTCAGTCTGAAAGAAATGCAAAGACATTAACTAATTATTTATGGGACAACCAATTATTTTGTACTGTAAGTCTAAGACTGAACTTCATGCAATGCCTATTAGTTGAGCAGGCAAGACAGTGGAGCAATTCCTTTTGGAGTGGAATGAAGCCAAGGAGTTGAACAGAGAAGCCCCCTTAATGAGAATGATTCACTAACACAGACACAATGATGCTCAATTTACCTAGGCACTATACAACTGACCATCAAATGTTTCAAGAGACAGAAAATAACCTTTAAATTGAGACTGGGTTGAAGCAGAGGTGTCTGGAGATGCTCAGTTCTACAATTTTTAAGAAACAACAGACAGTGATTGAAATTATAAAGTCAAAGGAGGATGGATGTGCTTTTGCTTTCAGAAGGTACAGAGTCTCTAAAGTGCCCCGTGTGCCCTCCTTTCCTTGCAAATGTAGCACTGCTTTTCTGCTGCATTGTTGGTCTGTGACAGCTTAGATGTGTGACTCTTGGCTAGACTCAAACATCCAGGTAAACAACTCTCTTGCAATTTTTTTCCAATTTACAAGAACAATAAAAAAATCCCAAACTTGACAACAACAAAAACCAAATTTTTAAAAAAAAAAATCCAGCTGCATTTACATCTCATTTGCCAAGAAGAAAACTAGTATTCAAAATTAATGTTTGAGATAACTCTTTGGGAAGGTATAACTAATTCATAGCCCATGCTTTATTCTGGGATGAAAGCCAGAGCCATGGTTCCCAGTCTTTCTAAGGGGTTGTTCAACATCAAGTGAAAACTGCCTACCCCAGATCTTCCATCGTGACTGGGTAACCAGGCAAAACTGCCCCTGCAGCACATGAGCATTTTATCCTCCAAACATGCTAATCTCACGAACATACACCCCACAGAATGTATGGTGACACACCACCAGGATCACATCTCAGGGAACCCAGCAGAGAAAGACAGCTTGGATGGAGGAGAGCTGCCAAAATGATTTGTCTGGTTGATAATCCCACTGCCTCAGGCCAGTAGCACATGGCCAACAGCCAGGCTGATTTCTTGATGGGCCTCATGCAACCCTGTATTAGCTGATAAACTTGAACCAGAGCATTAGAGCTTGGATGAGAGGAGTGGAAAAAAATGCAAAAAAAAACCTTTCAGTTTACTGCTACATCTGAAAGAATCCATCTGAAAATCCAAAATCAATGTAATTTAACCCTAAAAGGATTGATCCATTTTCCCTCTCAGTAAGATCATGCCTTTGAGCAGCACAGGTTAATAACAGATAGTGTTGCATATTTCCAGTAATGTGGAGTTCTCCAGTTCTTAGTTTTTTAACTGATATCCATAAAGAGGTTACAGCAATAAACTAGAGATGATTCTTCTTCTATGCCAATTACTGAGATGCTGGGAGGATCCTTTTCAGACTATAATTGTGATTTTCCAGGTACATTAAGAGACTTGATTTTCCTTCCTGCTTTATGCAAGACACTGCTATCTTTGCTGAGAGGCCTAAATACAGGTTCATGGCACAGATGTAGAAACAGAGTACAAGCCTTAACAGGAATCTACAACAAGAAGAAACCAGGAGCTAATAATTTTTTGCACTGGATAAAATGTAAATGATCCCCTGAATTGACACCACTGCTAAGTTGATCATATTTGTGCCCTGGCTTCTTAAGAAGAAGAGGAATAAATACAACAAATCTTTTATTTATGGATTTAAAGAGTGTCCTACTTTAATAACAAGGCACAAAAAGCCTCTTTTATGTGGACCAAATACTCTATGACAAGTTCTAATTACCTGTGTTTTGAGATACAAAATCTGCCTCCCAAAACTTGAAGACAAAATGGGATCTTACAGATACTTCATGCATAGTTGAGTGAGTTCAGTTAATGGTTCAATGACTTTTCCCAAGCTGCATTCTGCTCTATCTGCATCTGAACAGTACTCAGGTAAATTAAAACCCTTAATATAGTCACTTCCCAAATAATCCTTGCGACTAAATGCCATCTGACAACAACAACACGAGAGAAACATAGTAGACAATCTTTTCACATGGACATCTTTTCTTCTTCAAGAAACTAAGAGCTAATTCACGTCTTTTAAGAAAGCATCAAAAGTTATAGACATTAAAATCCAATTTCAGTGTGTCTTTTGAAACAAGAGATAACAAGAAATAAATAAGCATGCTATCTTATCAAGATCCCCATTTTGATGGCCAACATTGTTCATACTGAATACCCAGTACATTCCTGACTATTTAAAAATTTAAAAAATAAGAAAAAAAAAAGGAAATAATTTTCATTTTATAGCTGTCATTCTTTACCATGCAGCTTTCTGTCTCAAGCAGGCTCTGTAAGAATATTCTACTTTAATATTGGATCTAATGATGTGTCCTCCCTGACACAACTGGGAATGTGACCATGGAGCACAGCGGCTTTTACCGACAGAGCCAGCCTTACCGACTCCTTGCTATTCACACTCCTTCCATTGGGTGTTGCTGTGATATTAAACAGATTACTGCTGGGACTCAAAGTGTGCATACAGAAAGACAAGGCAAAGGTTAAAGTTCTCTGCCTATGGTGCTCAGCCCATTGTCCTACACAGCCCAAGTTTGTTTTGCTTAAAAAGTTGGTGGTGAAATTCATTAGCTGGTGCTGAGAAAAATTGTCAGTGACTACTTTTGAAAATGCAGTCCTAAAATGGAGTCTTTCAGCTTGCACTAAAAGCTTTATATTCTTTCATGAAGGTGATCTGACTAAAATTTATATGTACATTGCAGCATTCAATTACTGTACACTGTAGCTGTGCAGATGGCTTTCTTTTAATTAGAGTATTTAGTGCATCTTCTGCATAAAGAACCAGGCAATGAATAAGAAGGAATTTAATGAAAGTAGTCAAAAAAGGAAATAGTTTAAAGGAAACTAGGGGAAGAAAAAAAAAAAAGGTGAGATAATGACTTAGGACACAATTCTTGCAAGTATTTCCTGCTCGTTTAATGCAGCCTTTCAGAAAACCCAGAGGAGAAATCTTTGCAAATTTGTGGCCTCGGAGAGGTCTTGCCAAGCAGTAAGTATTAAGCAACTGATCACTAAACTTTGCACATCTGATGAACGCACCAATGATAGCTGAAGATTTGAAAAGCAAAATAACTGGAACTTGGCTTTCAGCGTGGCACAGACACACCAGTGAATGTGTTCCAAGGGTATTGTCAGAAAGTGTCAGAATTTCATTAAGTTACGGTGAGAAAAAAATGACATAAAATAATTTAATATTTTAAATATCCTCTGTATTAACAGCTACTGCTGTTAATATTGGTAACAGTAGCTAGCAACACAAAGTGGTAATTGCGATGAATATAAAGCTTCTACAACCTGAAATCCTGGATAATTTCTAATCAATAATTAAGAAGCTAGGCTTATATTCTTATATAAGTTGTATTCCTAGTTTGTTAGAAAATCATTGGCATTTAGTTATGTGGCCTCTATCCTAACTGGGAAAAAAAAAAACAAAAACAACCAACCAACAAAAAACCACCAACATTCAAAAGGAAAAAACACAGTGAAACAACATGAATTTTATGTTCTTAAATTTGCTTCTGGCAGGCATAAATGCTTAAAACATACAAACCTGGGTAAGAAAAAGCTGCTATGGGTCATAAAGGATAGGCTTCAGCCAGGGAAGTTATACACCCTCTTAGCAGGGGCAGTAATTTAAGTCACTCTCAAGAATAAATCCAGTATTTCTGTATTCTAAGCTCTTCAGTGAATTTTAAATTTTGTAGTGACGGCTAGACTTACCTGGTAGACCGGGTGGGGTTTTCAGATATTTGCCATTAAAATGCTGAATTACTACTTCACATTTTTCTGTAGACTCCATTCTGGAAAAGAGAAGAGAGTGGGATATGGGTAGAGGCAATATGTGTGCTGGATTGTTATGGAAGCACTCACTCAGCAAAAAACAAAAAGCAGAAGGAGAAAAAAAGGACAAGCACAGATGCTGAGAGACATCTTCATAGCTGCTGCTGCTGATTTCTGCAGAGAAACTGGTTGAGCCCATTTAGGACAGAGTGTGGCTCCCGAGGAGGACCTGCCACCCTCCTCGCCTGCAGCTGCGCTCCCAGCTGTGTTTGAGCCACAGGCCTGTCAATGAACAGTCCTCTTCTGGCTCCAGGGCATCACCCGGAACAAGGACATCCTTTGTGCTCTCACGTGCTGCTTGGAAAAGCAATGGACATGTTTCTAGATTCCTTGTGCACCCAAAATAACTTCAAATGGCTTAAAGAAATGAATTGCAGGATTTGGAGAGGAACACGGAGGATTAAACAACAATTATTAAGGATTACAATGTTAAGAAATCAACCTGCAAAGACAGACTTTGCAGTAAAACCAAAGACAATGCATATATGACTATTACAACACAAAGCCGAATTCTGGGCAAAGACAGTTATTTATGTGTAACACCAGCAGGGGAAATGCCTTACTGTTCATCTACTATGAGTTCAGGCTAACTTTCAGAGTTGAGACATTAAAGCATTAACAGTGAATTGGTAAGTGTATTTTTGAAGAATGCTTAGGAATACAAAGTTAATTGTCAAATCCCAAACCATGGTTATACCATATCTGGGAACTCACCATTGTTCCACATCTTCTAAATTAAGTGCATACAAGTCCAGAAAAACTTTGCTACAGAGGGGCTTTAGAAACTTTGAAAAGAGGGAAGAGAGAAATGGAAAGCTAGTAATTTCCTAGAAAAGTTGTGTTTAAAGCCATGTTCAATGCTCCTTCAATACACCAGTACCTACCTCCAGGTAGTCACAAACTAACTCTGCTGACTGATATATTGCTTATTTGTCACCTGTCTACATTGTTTCAAAATGAATTTATCCACTACCCTGCCTATCACACAGTTTGGGGAAACAGTGGTTCACATACAGCAGCAGTTTGTCTCCCAGGATACAATTTTGCCAGAGTCCATAGGGCCACAGGCCACACCACACCACCAAAAAAAAACCCCAACAAAAACCAAACGAAAACAAACAAAAAAACAAAAAAACAAACCAGAAAAATCCTGCTTGCCCATTTAATTATTTGAGTAAGTCAGTCTCTTGTCCAATTGTTTCAGGTGAAGTTATTAAAACTTTCCCCTTCCAGATTGTATCACGGTGTATCATGTGGGCTGGGCTATTTCTACAAGCACAAAGACAGCTACTTAGATTGTTCACTTTGGCTTCATTCAGATTTAACTAAGCGAATGTCTGCGCTGAGCCTTTAGAGACTCTTGTCTCTGAAAGAATAAATGCAATAAAAGTCTGTTTTCTGTAGCTGCAGGCACTTGGTGTCAAACCATGTTATGTTGCACCACACAGCAGTGACAATTTCATTTTAATACATGGGGTACATTTTAACAAGCCAAAGCAATCCCTGCAAAGAATGCAATATATAAGATGCCAAATGAAAGAGACTCAGTGCAGTTCATGCGTTTTATGTGGGAAGAGAATAAAAGTGAAACCCACAGTGCTCTGGGATAAAAAGCCCATCATTCGAATAGCACTCTGAAAAAGAATGTGCACATTTTCCTCTCAAGTTTCACAATTAACGGCTCTCAAATGCCATTGCTGGCTATCTGTAATCTGGCACACGCTTCGCTTGAAACCGACACTGGCATTATCGACTCAGCCTGAAAAGGCAGCACAATAGACAAAGCCCTCTATACATGTTCCCCTCGGACGTGTTGCTGAGTAACAACTGCATCCATCCTTTGCCCACCCCACCTGAGCCCTGGTGTGCTTTCTGCAACTTCTGCCTCTGGAGGTGGCCTTTCCTCCCGGCCGGGCAGAGGCTGCCCAGGCAGCCACCCACGCATCAGGAAGGCGTCCATCCCTGGGCCACCAAAACATGAATTATAATTGTCCACGATGCCCCATTTCTTAGAAATAACCATTTCAAATTGAGTTCTTCGGGATGATTGGCTCACTGACTAACTGGGAAAAATTTGGGGTACAGAGCAACCAGATATATTCACAAAATTGTCAGATTCTTGCCATAACAAGACTCTGGTTTTAGTTTAGTTAAAATTCTGACCAATATCAACCTCTTAGGTGTCAATGCCTATGGAAGGCACCTACACGAGTTGAACCTATCCATACACATCAACACACATTACTCTTCTTGTTTTATCCATAAAGACGAGCTATAACTGGGCAGAGGCCCCAAAAATAAACTTTCTTTAGGTCCATGTTAATAAATTCCTACTACTTTTCTTCCAAAAAGCTGTGGCACTCCTCTCTTGTAGAATGTGCTTTGAATTATTCTTATATGAGCTAGCAACGTTTCAAAATGTTGTTCGAGACTGGCATTTAATAAAAATATCACTAATGGAACTGTTACATGTTAAAAGGTTTGTTGTAAAAGAATGTCAGCTGAATGTTATTGGGAGAATAACACAAATACATCTTTTAATATTGGTGTTCCTTTCATAATTAATAGAACAAAAATATAAAAAAAAATATCCTAGATGCTTCAAGACCTTCTACTGAAAGATATAATTATTCAACACTCTTGCTGGAAAGGGAAGGAAAAGAGCTTCACATGATAATAGAAATTTGGTTCTGATTAGATCATTTGCACTTTCGAACTCGTTTCAACTGTATATTTTTGGTGTTTATCCTAACAAGATCTAAGATAATAATTCATGTTTAAATGCAATTTGGAGATAAATATAAAATTAAAAAGCCATAGGTTTTTATAACTTTTTAAGAGGTACAGATATTGATATAAACCCAAAATAACAAATAAAACCATGATAATTTATTTTTACCTGTATCTATGTATCTCCCAGTTCTGGAACATACAAAATAAGTAATGCAACTGTCTATATTCTATCCAGTTTGAAAATAAGTAAATTTTAATAAAATTTAAGAATATTTTTCTTATTTTTTTAGCTATAGTTTATAAACTAAAGATATTTCAATATGAAAAGTAAAAGAAAAAAAAATCCAAACAAACCCAAAACAGTGGGTGCTTAAGCAAGCGTCAGAACCAAAGAACTTGATGTTCACATCCTGCTGTTAAATATTTACATAATATAATTTAAAAACTTTATATTATCCTATTATTAAATAATAAAAATAATTTATTTTATAATATAATATTTATGTTGTATGTCTCTACCACAGACCACAATGGTACCAAAGCAGTCATTATGTATTTTTAGAAGTAATAGGGAATGTTTAACATGAAAAGGAAGAGGGAAGGTGCGGGAAGGTGCGGGAAGGGAAGGGAAGGGAAGGGAAGGGGAGAAATAAAAGAGAGAAAAGAGAGAAAAGAGAGAAAAGAGAGAAAAGAGAGAAAAGAGAGAAAAGAGAGAAAAGAGAGAAAAGAGAGAAAAGAGAGAAAAGAGAGAAAAGAGAGAAAAGAGAGAAAAGAGAGAAAAGAGAGAAAAGAGAGAAAAGAGAGAAAAGAGAGAAAAGAGAGAAAAGAGAGAAAAGAGAGAAAAGAGAGAAAAGAGAGAAAAGAGAGAAAAGAGAGAAAAGAGAGAAAAGAGAGAAAAGAGAGAAAAGAGAGAAAAGAGAGAAAAGAGAGAAAAGAGAGAAAAGAGAGAAAAGAGAGAAAAGAGAGAAAAGAGAGAAAAGAGAGAAAAGAGAGAAAAGAGAGAAAAGAGAGAAAAGAGAGAAAAGAGAGAAAAGAGAGAAAAGAGAGAAAAGAGAGAAAAGAGAGAAAAGAGAGAAAAGAGAGAAAAGAGAGAAAAGAGAGAAAAGAGAGAAAAGAGAGAAAAGAGAGAAAAGAGAGAAAAGAGAGAAAAGAGAGAAAAGAGAGAAAAGAGAGAAAAGAGAGAAAAGAGAGAAAAGAGAGAAAAGAGAGAAAAGAGAGAAAAGAGAGAAAAGAGAGAAAAGAGAGAAAAGAGAGAAAAGAGAGAAAAGAGAGAAAAGAGAGAAAAGAGAGAAAAGAGAGAAAAGAGAGAAAAGAGAGAAAAGAGAGAAAAGAGAGAAAAGAGAGAAAAGAGAGAAAAGAGAGAAAAGAGAGAAAAGAGAGAAAAGAGAGAAAAGAGAGAAAAGAGAGAAAAGAGAGAAAAGAGAGAAAAGAGAGAAAAGAGAGAAAAGAGAGAAAAGAGAGAAAAAAAAGGGAAAAAAATTATTTTAATATCCCCCCCAATGCTCTTATACCTGCATATGATAAAGATTGATGCAGCTTCAAGAAACAACTTAATACAATTCCTTTTATATAAGGAATAACATGGTGATTACATTATTACCTGAGAAATATTCAGTACCATGTAATTACCAGTTAGTGGAAAAGTGCAGGTTTGGTTTACATATACCATGTAGTCACTTTGCTTAATAATAATAATAATGTAAATGAGAATTAGGACTATAATTTTTTTATATCCAGAGTAAATATTTAAAGATTAAATTGTTGCTACCACATTTATGTTATGATCAACATATGAATATTTACACTTACAAGAGTAGAAATAAATCTTTGAGAACAATGTTTCCTTACTATTTAAGGCATTTTGCAAAGATGGAAGCAGATGGATAGTAACAGAATTATACAGTGAGGGGAGCCCAAAGAATGGAGACCATAGTTAGAATACACACCAGAGAACTGAATTTCTTTAGCATATCAAGAAGATGACTAGAGTGGCAGTCTGATAGCACTGCATAAGTACCTTTGTGGGGAGAATAAACTAGGGAGAAAGGACGTCTTTATCCTTCCTGAGAAAGTTGTGACAGATGAATTCAAAACAGAAATTAGTGAGGAACATTTAACTGCAAGGAAGATGATCCACTGGCAAACATTAGATAGAAGAGAGGTGGTCCTTTCTTTCTAACTGATGTCTTCAAATAATTTCTGAAAGTCTTATTTTAGTAAGACACAA